CAGTGGCCAGGGCTCAAGGGGTTAAACAATATTTTTTGATTAGCTGCATTTAAGTAGACACTTAATTTATTTTGTTTACTGGCCTGCACATTTGAAATAAAATACTGTTTAAAATAAAACAGTCTGTCTACTCAAATACGGTCGCAGTAAAAATAATGTTTAATAAAATATATGTCATTAAAATAAAAACCCATTTTGAAATATATCTGAAAGACAACAGTAAATATTCTATATTCCTACTGCTATGTCCTGAGATCCTTGCTGTTACACAATATGCTGGCTTGTATGCAGGTCACTAACGGGACTGAAATTTCACAAATGACCCAAACATAAAAAGTGAATGAAGTTGTGGGATCCTCATATGTCAAAAATCAACAGGAGAGTCTATAATGTCTGCATATATATATATATATATATATATATATATATATATATATATATATATATATTATTATTATTATTATTATTATTATTAACCAATTGAAAGTTTGACTTGCAGTTGGTTAATCGAGACATACCCACAAGTATATTTTTAATCCTGACCTTATGCCCCTCAGAAAAGAGGCAATGATTTGTTTTTAAATTTTCCTAAAAAATCATTTTTATCACCAGTTACCAACCATCTCCTGAAGAAGGAAAAGAATAGTATTGAAACATGAAAACTTTTGTGTAGCGATTTGAAATGTTTTTATTATAATATTTTATAATAAAAATATTATAATAATATTTTGCTCTACTTTGTATTGAGCACTTAAAAAGTAAATACTACAAATTGTGGATTTTTACTCCATCTGTTCTTTCTCTTATATATATATATATATATATATATATATTTAGTTGGATTGATGTAAGTTTGTGCCCCTGCGTTTCAGGCTATTTGTGATTGTCAGACAAACTGATTAATTTTTAAATTTTGGTTTTATTTTTGGTTGCGTATATCTGTGTTTTGTGGTAGTGGGAGAAAAAATTGTTGTCGGAATGCCACTTCTATGTATGCAGACATACATGCATGTTCACGCATTACAGCTAACATAAACATATATGAACAGTGTGGGACTAGGCATATATGTGCATCCATGTGTCGTTGTGTGCAAACGTATGCAATTGGTCACTGTATTCAATGTTGGATTGTGTAGCAAACTTCTTTTGCAAGTGGCAGTTTTAATGCACAGACCATTCGTCTATTAAGTACCACACATATATAATATATAAATAATATAAAAAAATTGCATATATATATATATATATATATATATATATGCTGTATTGCAGGCTTTCCAACATTGATATAGGAAGTTTCTTCCTAAGGTTAATAGACAAGCACTTTCATAATAAACATCCACTATATAAAATTTTCAATAGGAAGACACTGAAAATAAGTTATTCATTTGTAAGTAATATGGAGAAAATTATATCTTTCCACAATTGCAAAATACTTAAGAACTACCATAGTAGCAAAACTCGATCTAGGAGCCCCATTGTAGGAGTAGAGCTAATTGTCCAATCGGGGGAAAATGTATGTATGAGAATGTAATATATGAAGCTACAATCTTCCCTGAAGAAAATATCAGCCAGAAAAAAAGATACATAGGTATATCTGCTGGTAATTGGAAGCAGCGTCTGTACAACCACAGATGCTCTTTTAAATATTGATACCTAAAAAATCAAACTTCCTTATCCAAACACTACTGGGATCTGGTAGACAAGGGACTAACCCCGCATTTCAAATAGATATTCTTATCAAAAGCAAGAACCCGTAATGACTTCTGTGATCGGTGTGATCTATGCATAGCGGAAAAAAATGTTATTATTAAAGATAAAAATCCAGATGAGTTACTGAATTTTAGTAGTGAGATCATTTCCAAATG